TGTTACTAAAATAACTTCAACGCAGCTTTAAATATATGAATATTATATAATATATGGAAAATTATTAAAGTGTGTAAATATTTTCTGAAACACTTTTGAGCTTAATAAAATCCACCATATTTTTGGTTGCTTATATAAATTTATTAAGTAAAATTACAAACGGATAAGGTATTTTGGATTACACAAAAATAAAAATATTGAGAAATTGACCAGACATATATGAAGTTCCTAAATGTAGACAACATTTTTCAAAACTTTTTACAATTAGAACGTTGTTGAACAGAAAAAGAGTTCAAGAGCAAATTTATCTTGAAATAATTAGAAGATTAATTTCGACATCCACACATGTGTAAGGTTCCTAAATGTAGGCAACATTTTTTAATAATTTGTTTTTTACATTATGAAGCTGTCGCATAGTGTAATAGGTAGACATAATTCAAGAACAAATTTATGTTATAGATATTATAGAAATAAATTCTCATATCACCTAATAAAAATAGCATACTTGTTGGCAGCCAAAAAATATTGATATGCATATGTTATACAGATACATATTATTTTTTCTTTTCAAAATTAACAAGTTTGGAAGTATTTTTTAATTATTATTCCTCTCTTTTTGACACTTTTAATAAAAAAAATTGGATAAATAACACCTAAATGTAGGCAACGTTATTTTTACCAAATTTAACTCTTAATATTATCTTCAGAGCAGAAGACAATATATTTGAAATCATAGAATACCTTTTTTCTTATTATTAGCGCGCTTCTGTTTCACACTTGAGGCTCTGGGCTTTAGCTTAACTTGAAAATGTTGCGTTCCGATTTTGCTTGCATAGTTAGTTTTGGTGAAAGCTTAAGTTCAAAAGCTAGTAAGCTCATAAATATTTATTTACGATATTTAATTTCATTTGTTTAAATTGCGAAAGTTTATTTTTGGTAAAAGCTTATATACGAAAGCTTTAAAGCTGTTTTATATATTACTAAATTTTTTCTGCAAACATTTTGTTGTATAAAATTGCCATTCACTTTAGCTGAATTACTAACGAATCTACAAAATTTTCCTGGCATATAATTACATAACCAAAAGCTTTCAAGTAGGCTTATATTATATATAGCATAGAAACTTTGTTTTTTTGGCAAATAAAAAATGATTATAATGAATGTAAAATTAAATTTATAAAATTAAATTGTTGCACACAGTTAGCCAGATAGGTATATACATATTATATTATAGCAAGATGCAAATTTAGCGCCTAAAAGCATGCAACGCATGTAAGACTTTCAACCACAGCGTTATACTGAAATTGTTGGCTGCTTGCCAGCCTTGAACTGGAATTGCCACAGGAATTTTTTGTACATATGTGTGTATAAAAATATTTCACTTTTTTTTTATATTTCTGAAAATTTTTCGACATTTATGTAGTCACAACGGCTCAACAAACAAAGTAGAGATATCCGGTTGGTAGTCTGCCTAAATGCACATAGAGCCACAGACTTCTATTTGTCTATATGTACGCAGCAAGGCTGTAAGCGATTTTATGCAGACAACCGGCAAACTTTATAGTGTGAAGTTGGCGGCAATGATGCATTTTACAAACTTGTGAAAATTCGCACAACTTTGCAAAGACAATTGAAAGCGCGGGAAGTGTCTCGGTAATGGCGAACAACCAAGAGGAGCGGAAAATAATAACTTTTTAAAATACCGAAACTCACGTTTTTTTTGTTTTTTGCTTTTATTGTTGTTTTTGTGGCAGACAATAACAAATTTGCACATTAATTTGAAGCCTTTGTGGTTCTTGGTAGCTAGCGCGGCAAATACCGCTTAACCGGAGCATTGTAAACATTGCAGCGAGAAAGAAAAATAACGAAAACTTAGCACTGCGGTGCCAAGGAGTGTCCGGCGAGCTGCCAAAAGCAGAATGTAAATTAAACGACTTTAGCGGAAAATAAGCGTGCGCAATAACAATTATAATTCACAGTTTCATTTAAAGAAAAATGTCCGCAAAGTTTATACTTGCAATTTTTAGCTTCAAAAAAGGAAAATTTTGAGTGTCGCGAAAGTGTCAGCAGCTGCAGAACTCTGCTTATGTGAACATTATTTTGAAATAGAAAAGAGTTATCCACAATCTTTGGAGAGCTTTCACCTTGTGGACAGTTCGGAGTCCGCATAAACCCAGACAAAAATCGAAGAAGTGTCAATACAAAACTATATTATAAAAACTAGTTTAAGTACTTTTTGTTACTATTGTTGTAAGAGCATAAAACACGACTCACCCCAAATAGTTTAAAAAAACCTAATTAACCTAGTTCTTGGTTAGACATAATTCTACCACCGTTAATGATAGATTTACTCCGCTAACTTGGGAGCGGATCTTTTCTTAATACAGATCATTAGACTTGAGTATCTGGCACTCTAAGTTATAACGCAATATCTAATAGAACGGCTAATTGAAAGCCCAATTAACCCATATTTTCAAATATTGGATTTGACTAAGTCCACATCTTCCATGGCCGTTATCACAGTACACACAAAACGCTGCTGTAACACGACGATATTATACATAACTAGTCTCACGTAAACCGGCTGAACTGAACCTATTTTCCAATTTAGGCGACCAAATCTTACGAAAAATAACGAGGTAATGACTGAACCTCTGGACTGACAAATCTATGTTGTCAAGGCAAGCTTTAAAAGATCTAGATGACTTGAAATGAGTAAATATTCAGTAAATAAACTAGAATATGGTTAAGTAGATGAAAGATATCGAGACTGCCCAATTTTCCAATATAGCGACCGAATCTACCGTAAATAATAAGATCATGGGCCTGGTCTGATGGACTTCAGTGATCAGGGAAAGCTTTAAAAGATCCAGATCACTTGAAATAATTAAATAGACGAAAGGTACCGAGCACTGCTCGTCGGTTCTTTGAGATACGTATTGTTTGAGGAGAAAATAGGTTACTATCTCTCAGTAATCAACGTTTATATTTGTGAACCAAAAAACTACGTTTATTTCATTGCCCTATCTGGTCATTCGTAGAGCGCTAGAAACCGCTTTTCTTCTCTTACACCACTCTCTATTAGCACAATACCACATCTTACGCCGCGCGCACACAGTTAATGGCGGAATGGTGTCTTCGCTGAACAGCGCCGCAAAAGCAACCGTTTAATTTGCCACTTTTGATTAACTTCATCAGCGCGAAAACGTGCTGTTGTTGATTGCAAACGTCCACAGATAAGCGAACTGTGCGGCGAATGTACGCACATAAGGCGGGTGGGAGACAAACTGGAAAGGAGATTGAGAAATGCAAGTAAACGCAGCAATTGAAGTATGCATTCCAGATGCCGCACACAGCATTAGAAGAGTGAGCGGTGAGATGCAAGTAAAATTTATAATTTGTTGCAACTACCTACGTACATTATGGCACGTCAGCGTACGTTAAAATGTTTATCGTTTGAACTGAGCCACCGCGCCCTAAAGGTTTCTCCTCTATAACATTGTAACGGCTTCGTGCTGTCTTATTCCGCCAACAACTCACACCATCAACCACCGATTGTCTTGCCGCCGACTTGGCTCCCCTTATTTCTCTTTCGTTGTAATTCTCTAAATTGTGCGACGTGCCGCATTCGCCTGCAGTTGACATTTTTACAGCAACAAATTTGCACATAAGTATATTTTACGAGCAAATGCATCGCTGCGTAGGAAAAATAGAGTCTTCGCGGCGTGAATATCCAGCTGCGCCAGGCTTTCGACGGCAACCATGTTAGCATTGGCGCTAATACTAAGGGTTGGCAATGCGCCATTGTGTATGTGGCGTTTAACAATGCGATTTTGAAGCATATTTTTCAGCGCAATTCATTGAATTGACAGGAAGTTGGGAGCATTAAATTTAAAGTTGTTATTTGTCGACATTAAATATTTGAAAAGAGGAAAAATTAAAAAAATTTTGTGTAAAATTCTAGCATTAGAAATTTAAATGTTTAAGTTATGCGCCCCAATGTAGGCAGCATTTTTTTCGTAGAATATGTGTGAAATTTGTTTACGGTATATTCTTTACCAAACAGGAATATTAAAAATTATAAAAAAATATTTTTTAAATATTCAAGTTGCAATCATATTAAATTTGAGGAAAACTATTACTGGAAAGTATAGTATTTTTAAAGTTTTTTGTTTATGAAAATAATGTTTTTTCTCTATAAATCGTACAACAATACAACAAAATTATAAAACTATTATAAAAAAAAAGCTTAAAAAACAATACTAAAACTGTTGCAATAGGTTAAGATAACGAATTTCAAAAATGTTTGCGCCCAAATGTAGGCAATATTTTTGCATACGTTCTATAAATTTTTAGTATAAAATATGTATACGTACTTTTACAGTATTCTGTACAAAAACTGTACAAAGCAAATATAAAAAATATAAAATTGTTACTAAAAAAAATTTGGAAATAGCTAATTAATTATATTTTATTTGCGTTAAACTGTTGTTGGAAATTATAATATTATTTTTTTTTTTTGCTTTAACAAAAGTAATTTTTATTTTCTATATTACTTGCATTTTATTATAAATGCGCCAAAATGTAGGCAACATTTTTTTATTTGTGATTTAAAGTGATTAAAGCCAATAAGAACTTGATAAAAAGTAGCGCAAATTTGTTTTCGAAAGGGAAATAATAATTTAGGCACCTTTTCCGCAAATTCTATTGGAAAAAATTTTTATGAACACTGCGTTAATCTTTTTTGATAATTATTTTTCTTCGTATTTTATTTTTGTTTTAGAAATTATTCTTCTTAAAATTTTTAGAGTATAATAATATTAATTTCAGTTGAATTTCGATTTTCTTAATTTTTATACAATAACTTTTATATTTGGTGCGCTCCTATATAATTATTAAATATTTAGTTATTCACAATTTTTTGCTTTCCCTCTTTTCAATGCCACACATATCTTTAGAAACTACTAAAAACCTCTCTTTTTTACATTATCTCATTACAGCGCAGCCCATATGTATATTTCCTCAATTGCGGTACATTGCGTAATCGTTTCATATTGCGTTTGAACGAGTCACGTGACTTGGTGGAACGTGCGCGTGACTCTATTTATTTAATACAGCGGTAAGCAAAATAATAGTTTGTCATTCAATAAAAAAAAAAACGTTATAAAATACGTTTTTAACACACCCTTCTTCCTCTCCTAATTTTTACGCTCTCCTCAATCTCCTTAGCATGAGCCAAGAAACGTATCCCCGCATCGATGTGCACAAAACGCTCGAAGCCATGGAGAATGATCTCGAGGAGACAAAACGTAATCTTACTGTACTCTCGGCCACACTTGATCGTCGTGCAATCGATCGGCATTATGCCGATGCCTTGCACGGACTCTGCAGTGGCGGTCTGCTCGGTTTGAGCCTCATGATGGTCGCCGGACTTTTGACTTCGTTTTTGCTCACCATTTTGGTGTATGCCGATTCGCATGCTTGGATCTACTTGAGCAAACGGTAAGTACGAAAATGTACCAAGAGCGCTGGTAACCAAATATTTGGCACGCTTATGTAAATAATTTTGGTTTTCTACTTTCGTGTTCTACGTTTTTTTTAATTCTTCAACACGTTTTACAAATATCTTCAACATTAACTCGTTTTGAACGCTTTGCGTGATCATTTTCGAAATATTTTTGCTCTCATTTTCGATTTCTCTCTTCACACACTGTTTGCAATAACTTTATTGCTATTTTTTACAAACTCTCTCTCTCTCTAACTGTCTCCCTCCTTGAAATTTCTCTCTTTGTGTGTGTGTTTATTTTTTTCACGCTCTCTCTCGCTCGCTTTAGACCCAGCTCACTGGATATTGATAAGTCTGAAACCACGCCGCTTTTCCCATCGAACGCACCGAGCGCTAGCATTTCACCCACCGCACCACTGCATACGGGCACCATGAATCGCACACTACCGCACCATCAGCAAACGGCAACGCACGGCATCGGCGCTGGCAGTGGCATTGGCGGCATTGGCAGCAGCGGCACGCTGGGCTCGCATCGCAATGGCACCGCTGGAATGAGAACAGGGTTCGTCGCTACATCATCACCTACAACAACTACAACCACACTACAATACAACAATCATCCACATAGAACTAACGCTAGCGCTGGCATTGGTGGTGGTGTTGGCAACACTGGCACTGCCATCGGCTTAGTCGGCTCGGCCACCGGCATTTTGGGCGGCCGTCTCACAGCTGGCGGCAGTGCCGGTGGTAAGGCATCACCATCGCCACCGCCGGGTTATGATGTTGTGGTGCATGGCACAAGGCATGGTTTTTATTGATTTTTTTTTTCATTTCCATTTTCATTTTATTTGGCTTTTTGTCCACTTAACTAGCGCTTGATTTCATTATTTCCATTATCACACTTTAATGGCATTTATAATTATTTGAATCGGAGCATTTACTTAATTTTTTAGACATTTAAAGTTTTTGTATTTTACAATTGCCTATATTCTTCGTAAAAAGTTGATTTATATTTGCATAAAATATAATTAAATTTTGCGATTTTTTTTTATACATTTTTCTACTTTATTAACCACACAAATTATGTTTATTTGTTATAAATCCTCGCACGGAAATTTCAGCTTAAACTGTCAAATAATTTATTGAGAAATTATTATTTTTTGTTCTAAATGTATTTAATAAACTGCTGAAAAAATTAATCCAAAATAAATTTTTTGTAATAAAAAGAATATTTTATATAATTAATTCAAAATATAAATTTGTTTTTATTATAAAAATATTTTAAATATATAAAAAATTATTTTTTTATTGAAAGTGTTCAATTACTAAATTTAGATGATTTTATTTTATTTTTAAATTAATTAAAGCAAACACGATTTTCGCAAAATTTAATTAACTCAACTTTCATACAAAAATATTTGTATTTAAATTAAAAACTATTGATATTCAAATTTATGAAATTTGACCATCACCATCATCACTAATTAAGAGAAAAAAATTATTTTAATAAAGAACTTAAATAAATTTATATAAAGTATTTTTTTTTTGTTATTGTGAGGGAACTCGTTTCATATAAATTAATTTTAGTAGTCAATACAATTATTTAAAAAAAATAATAATTTTTACGATTAAGTTTTTTTGCTTGGTACTATAATTTATTTATATTTATGAGCGAATGTGTTTTAATTTTCTTTTTGTTAAAATTTACTTATTTATATTTATGTTGATCAAATTTCTTTTTATAAAAAAATTTTACTATTAATAATTTTTTTGTAGAAATTTATTTATTTATATTTTTGTTAATTAAATTTTTGTTAATTAAATTTTTTTTAATTACATTCTTTTTATAAAAAAGTTTTACTTATATTTACCTTAATTTTTTGTGTTATTATAGGGAAAATTGCTTTTTATAAAGTCGTATAATTTTTACTACTCCATTATTAAAAATTAAATTTAATTCGCGTAAAAAGTTTTTTGTTAGTTATTGATATACCAATAAAAAAAATTTACGAATAATTGTGAAAAAAATGTTGTATACTTAAGTTATTATTCTGAATAATAAGTTCATTTATTTTAATTTTAAGAATTAAAATTAAACTCTTTTTAATAATTTCAATTTTCTATATATATTTTTTAGAGTTTTATAAATTAATATTTATTTTAGTTTTTTGCGTTATTGAAGAGTTAAGGTTTTATTTTTTTAAATAACTTCTTTACTAGTTTGTTATTAGATTTTTAGAAAATTAATTTAATTTTCGTAAAAGTTTTTTTTGGTAAATTATAGAATCAAATTTTTTAATTATAAAGTTATTTTAATTTTTATTTTTTAATTAATTTTATTTAACATATTAAACACTCATATATACGTTATTATTTATTGACTTGAAATTTGGAAAATTATTGTTACAATTTTTTTTATTTCATTAATTTTTTTAAATATTTTTTAAAATTTGCAAATTAATATTTATGGATTTTTTTAAATCTTATAATAATATTTTATTAATACATGTTTAATTTAAAATAATAAATTTTTTTTTCTTAATTTTAATCGTTTTAAATCAAATTTTTATTAATTTAAATAATTTTTTTTAATTTAAAATAATTTTATAATATTGAAAATTTATTAATTTTTTAATTATTTCATACCTTAAAGAATACTTATATTTCTTAAAATTTCTTATATTAAAATTTATCAACATTTTTTTTTATCGTTTTAATTATTTTAAAAGCATTTCGTTAAAATTTTATCTTTTTTTTTTTGTTAAGTATTAGAAAATAACTTTTTTATTTATATTCTATTAATTTTTATCATATTATTATTATAAAATTAAAATGTATGTTTCATATTTCAAATTAGAATAGATTTGCTGATTTATTTATATTTTTATTTATTGCACCAAATTATTATTTATATGTAATAAGTTGATATGCAAATATAACAAGCACAGTTACACAAATATTTATTTTTACGCAACATTTCACAACATTTTCCGCATAATTAGCATAATTTTGCATAAAACATATTAATACTTTTCATATTAATGCAATTTCGCTAAGTTTTTTGTTTTTGTTTTGCAACCGCAAATAATATTTGAGAATATTTACAATTTGCGGTAAAAAGTGCATTACGCGTACTTATGTACATATATTTTCATGTGCTATTAACAGCTGTCTATAAAAATTGCAATAAATTAAATTTGCATAGAACTTTGTAAAGGCTGCCACTGCGTATTAGTAAAATCTAAGCAGAGGGAATAGTAAGCTCATGCAATATGCAATAGACATGCACACATACTGGTTGCACATTTTGCGTAAGCGCACGTAGCTTAAAGTGTATTAAGCGCTGGCATTTTTTTTATGAATTTAATCCCACCTTTATATAAGTCAAATAAATACAGTTTATTTTAACTTAAATATAGCGACAAACAGCAAGCATTTGCGCTTAAGTACGCTTGAGCATACAACGATTAATTTTTAAAACCATCATTAAGCTTAAACACACTTTTGCATGCCCTATGCTGCTGGGCGTATACGTAACTTTTTCGCAGTCATATGCAGAAAACATTTAAGTAACTCATACGCACCGGAGCACTTGTGTTGTGCTTTTGATTAAATTAATTGAACTGAAGAATCAAAAAGTTGGACAACAAAAACAAAACTTTCTATATTGAATCATACTTTTATGTTTGATTTATAATTTTTTCAATAAAGAGGCATACTCTCGTTAAAATATTAAATGTGAAAAATTCAAATTTTTTTAAATACCGAAAGATTCTTGACTAACTTTTTATTATTATTATTTTACTAATTTTTGATACAAATTTTGATTTTTAGTAAAAGCAAATATAAAAAAAAATTATTTAAAATTTAAAATATTTCAAATTTAAAATTTTAATTTTATAAATTTTTTAAATTAAAATTTTTGATTTTTGGGCAAAAAAACTAAATTTACTTTCATAAAAAAAATTTATAAAAAATCGTATGTTTCATCCTTAATAGTTTACACGTACAAAAATAAAAAACACATGCGAAACAAGCACTGGAAAAAATTAATCATTTATAGTGAAGCATATACATATGTACATATATATATTAATACACTAGCGAGAGACACACACTTTTGTTGTTGTAACTTAAAGTTTACACTTGTAAAAATATTATCATTTCACAAGCAGATTAACAAAACAGCTATATGAGCCAGATGCATGTAGCATATGCACAAACCACACATACATACCACACACCACACACATATATGTAAATAATGCTTTAAACCGTGTGTACAATTGCATAATTTTATGCACATACATATATTTGCATTTAAATAGACAAGCGCTCGTACCCTTTGACTTGAGCAAACCATAGCTCGGCGCATAATCAGCCAGCTGCAGTTAGGTGTAAGATTTTGGCAGCTGGCATATTGCCTATTTTAAGCTTGTTGCTGCCCAAAGCCAATTGAGGTGGCTTAACATGCAAAGACTGCTAATTAAGTATACTTAATGATAATATCAGTAGATAATTAGTAATTAATTAATATTCAATGAAAGCGAGGGGAAATTGAGACGATTCTAACATAGATCATTACAATGGCAACAAAAGCATGTTTGCATGGTTTAAATTGCGTGGATAATTTTGCATTACGAGAGTTAAAGAAAAATGAACATAAATCCTAAAAATTCATTAATATTCAGAGCATTCGGATAACGCGTATAAGCTATTTTCTAACACAGCATTCATAAAAGTACGCAATGATTAATATTATCTTAAAAATTGTGCTATCGAACTCTTCGGATAACGCGAATACGTTATTTTTTAATAAAACATTAGTACCAGTATTCAATGTTTAATATTATCCAAAAATTTTAGTTAACCGTTAACTGTTCAGAAACGCGAATAACTGTTTTTTTAACTTAAATACAATACATGCATTTGAATATTATATATGTATATGTACATAGGTAGACAAACAACTCTGCTAAACTGGCATAATTAAAACAAATTGTACTGTATTAACTTGTAGTAATTATTTTTTTAGCTCGCATCTAAGTGTTATCCGGATAACTAATTTTCGATTTTACTACATTAATTCTAATTTATATTTACCTTAATTTTTTGTGTTATTATAGGGAAAATTGCTTTTTATAAAGTCGTATAATTTTTACTACTCCATTATTAAAAATTTAATTTAATTCGCGTAAAAGGTTTTTGTTAGTTATTGATATACCAATAAAAAAATTTACGAATAATTGTGAAAAAATGTTGTATACTTAAGTTATTATTCTAAATAATGAGTTCATTTATTTGAATTTTAAAAATTAAAATTAAACTCTTTTTAAATTTTCAATTTTCTTTATATATTTTTTAGAGTTTTATAAATTAATATTTATTTTAGTTTTTTGCGTTATTGAAGAGTTAAGGTTTTATTTTTTTAAATAACTTTTTTACTACTTTGTTATTAAATTTTTAGAAAATTAATTTAACTTTCGTAAAAGTTTTTTTTTTATATTATATAAATTATAGAATCAAATTTTTTAATTATAAAGTTATTTTAATTTTAATTTTTTAATTAATTTTATTTAACATATTAAATACTCATATATACGTTATTATTTATTGATTTGAAATTTGGAAAATTATTGTTACAATTTTTTTTATTTCATTCATTTTTTATAAATATTTTTTAGAATTTGCAAATTAAGATTTATGGATTTTTTTAAATCTTATAATAATATTTTATTTCTTTTTTTCTTAATTTTTATCGTTTTAAATAAAATTTTTATTAATTTAAATAATTTTTTTTAATTTAAAATAATTTTATAATATTGAAAATTTATTAATTTTTTAATTATTTCATACCTTAAAGAATATTTCTATTTTTGAAAATTTCTATATCTTAAAATTGTATCTTTTTTTGTAAAGTATTAGAAATAACTTTTTTATTTATATTCAAATTACTTTTGAATAAAATAACTTTTAAGGCTTATCCGAGTTATCCGAAGTCTATGGATAAAGAATTTTTGATTATTTTTTTAAATATTTTATTTGATTCATATTTCCTATGAGCACGTTTCAAGTTTATCCGAGTTATCCGACCAACAGATAACACATCCTTTTTACGATCTTTCGTAATAGAATACATAATATTCTCACAAGTTGGCATTTAGAAAATATTTAATTGATATTGAAGTAGTTATTATATTATATTATTAATTCTGCACAATTACATTATCCGGTTCGTGGAAACCAATTTAAGTACCACTATTATTTGTTAATATTTCTTAAATCATAAAACCACAAATGCATTTACATACGTAAACACATACTCCCATTCCTAAAAATGTATACACCATATAAATAACACCAATATTATGTATATAAATATATGACCGATATTCTACCAATTACACTTATATTGAAACTGTTTCACATAGTTAACACTATTACGCATCTCTTCATCTCCTCTATTGCTTTCACCTCTTCCTCTCTAACTGTTACTCTTCCTCCACATTTCCCACAGATCGGGTCATCACACACTCGGCCGTCTACCCTCGCACCATCAGCAGAACTCATCGGGCTATCTGAGCGGTCCCAATAATGGCAAATATGCTACACTCAGCAAACAGTGTAAGACTCTCGAATCTAGCGATTTTTACTGAGAATCGCTTGCCTGCAACACAAATGCAGGCATCAGCAACACCAACAACGTCAACCTTCTCGGCAGCAACAACATCAGCAATCACATCAAGCAACAACAACAGCAGACCAACTCATTGAAGAATATCTTCGCTTCGGCTACATTACCACGTTCGGCTGGCTCCTCCATACGCTCCGTACTCTCCGCACAAGCTGTACATCGTTCCACCGGTAATGGTTTGGATCGTGACGATGATCGTGATCCACGCGATGTCACTAATAACAGTTTCAATCGTTTCGATCCGAAGTATATTAGTATTGGACCGAAGGCGGTGCGCGGCAATAACAATTTGAATATTGTCGCCGCCGCCACAGCAAATAAGTGTGCCACGCTGCGGCATGTCGGCCGCTACGGTGGCTCGTTGAAGGGCGCCAGCCCCTCGCCGAATCTGCGCAGCGCCAAGACACCCTCCATTGCGACCGTTTCGAAGGATTACTGCCAACAACCGGACTGCATACCGCAAACCTACACGACCGAAGTAATTGTGCCACATCAAACGCAGCAACAACAGCCGCCGCCACCACCGGCACCGCTGCCACCACCAAAGCCGCGTACCACTAACACATTCACCGAAATACCGGGCACTACGGGCGTGGGTAGCTCCTATGCCAAAGAACAGCAACAAATGTTGATGCAGCAGCAGCAGCTACAACAATTCCAACAACAACAGCAGCAGCATCAACAACAACACCAACTGCAGTTACAGCAGCAGCAGCAGCAACAGCAATTAGCCGCATTACAAGCAGCCCAACAACAGCAGCAACAACAAACACAACTACAATTGCAGCAACAGCAGCCGACGCTACATCAGCAGCTGCACCAACACCACCCGCCCACGACACACATACTGCCAGCCACGGCGGTCTACAGCATTGAGACATCGGGCTATCAGCCGCAGGCTCAGCAACAGCCACAACAGCAGTCCTCGGTACAGCCACAGCATTTACAGCAACACATGGTGGTTGCACAACAACAACAGCAGCCACCGCCTACAGCCGCGCCACGTGAGCCACCACGACCACCGCCACAGCGTTCACTAAATCCGGCTTCCATAGTAAATCAACCACTGCCGGAGATACCACAGCAGGCGCAGCAGTCGAAGATCTCACCACAACCGCTATGCGCAGCTAACCTCAATCAGTATCGCTCATTACAACGACCACAAGCGCAGAAAATGCAACTGCCCAGCAGCGCAATGCCGGCGCAACAGCAGCAACCACCCTCGTTGCCGCCAAAGAAGAAAGCGTCGCGCGAGATTAGCACATCGACGGCGGGCGGCACCTTAAACGCCAATCACTTGCAGACTTTGCCACCAAAATCGGCCAGTTTGCGGCAGCAACAAAACGCCACCAATGCTTACAGCTACGAGCGCGAGCGCGAACGTGAGCGTGAGCGCGCAGAACGCCACGAACGTCCAAGACGCGCGGAAACGCTCGATAATGCGCGTACTGCCAGCAGCGGCAGTATGGCTTTTATTGAGCAACAATTCAGCAGCGGTGGCATGAAGAAGCAACACTCTTATGATTCGTATACGCTGCAGCAACAGCAGGCCCAGCGGCATGCGACTGCAACCACGCCCAACAATAACTACCATGGAGCAATCGGCAGCAAACACCAACAACAGCAGCAACAATACTTAATTGAGGCACAACAGCAGCAGCTGTACTATCGCTCGCTGAAGCGCGGCGGCTCGCATGCCAACAACGATCTCTACTCGGTCACAGAATTGTAGGAGTGTGCCTGCTGCGGCGGCGGCGTGGATGTTGTGCGGCGTACGACAACGTGTGCCACAACAGTTGCGCCGCCAGCCGCAGCAGCTGCAGCCGCACAAACGGCCGCACCGCCACCCATACCATTGCCGCCGAAAAAGCATCGCTCCTCAGCGAGCGTAGGCACTGCAACGATGACGACGCGCGACAGTCAAACCACTGCCAAAGTCACGACTACTGCCGCGACGACAATGACTTGTGACGAACACGAATACGATGAGTACTGTCCCGAGCAATACGATGCGCATCATCATCACCATCACGGCGCTGCACAGACACAAGCGCAAACACAGACGCAGTGTGAGCGCGACCGAGAACGTGAACGTGAGCGTGAGCGAGAACGCGAACGTGATGCACATCATCGGCACAGCACATCGCGCGCCGGCGCTGCCGCCTCAGCACTGAAACACCAACGTGCCGCCACATTCGATGTGGCCGATGCGCGCGACTTCGAACTGCAACGACTGGGCAATCGACGCTCACAACAGCAACAACAGCTGCAACAGCAGTTGCAACAAGCAACTGGCGGTGGTGGTGGTAGCAGCAGCAAATACCGCAGCAGCGAACATCGTGGTGAACGTACACACGATCGTGAACGTTCGCGTAGCGATCACCGCATTTCCACCTACGCCTGCGACGATACAGCGCTTTGCGGCAGCAGCATCGGCGGCCATCAGAATCATCTCGCCAATGGTGGCCTCACACAATCGAGCAGACAGCAGCGGCGCGAAAAAACGTTCAAAGTATGATTTTTAGAGACGTCATAAAAATTTTCCCCTCCCTCTACGGAAGCGTACGGTAAACATGCGACAGCGGCGGCGGCTTACAGTTGGTAAATTGTTGCGACAATGAATCAGCATGACAGTCCGGCGGCCAAGCGTCGGGCAGTGTTGAGCAACCGCAATGTGGGCGTGTACTTGTGCGTTAAGTGGAGGGCAGTGCGGCAGCAGCGCGGCGGATTTATAATAATAATTGTGTGCAACACACCACAATTTTCCAACACCAAACAAACAACCAAACAAAAAATTAAAAAACAAAAGCAAAAAATTATCACGACGCTTCACGCTCGTGTTTTTATTGTTGTGTTGCCTCTTTTAGTAAACGATTAGCGACAAATTGGCATCAACCAAATCACTAAACCCAAAATATGTGTACGAGTGTATGTATGTAATGCTGTAACTAGTTTCAACACTAGCGTTGTTGTTGTGTAGTTTAGCTTAGTATGTTTTTGTAAACAGCGCGTATGCGACGCTGCAGTATGTTTGTATGTATGTGCTTATTTGAGAAGTTATTAACGTTCAAAAATGCGCACAAATTTTATGTAAAATAGTTTTAAAAAGCAAAGACAAAACAAAAACAACAACAAATTAAAAGCAGCCGAAGCGCGTCATTTATGTAAAATTGTTTGCTGGCGAAAACGTGTGTTGCAAAATTAGGTACTTGAAAAATTAATTTAGCATTACATTTTTAATTACGAATAATTTTTAATTTTTCAACTAGATTATAAAAAATGCTTTTTTAAGAGTTTTCAGCAAATATTTTCGTGGTTCCTAACCTCAAAATCACTCAGTTTATATTTTCTACATTTATATATGCAGTTATATTAAATTTTTAAACCAATTCTGCAAAGCACAAATAAAAAAATATATTTTTTGACGCAAATAAGTACCACAGCGCGGGTGATAATGGAGGCAGAGCATTGTTTTTAAAAACCATTTACATGTTCGATGGAATTTTTTTAAATTGTCTATGGTATTTAATAATTTAGAATTTCTACTTCTGATATTTTACATTTGAAAATTAAAAAAAAAAATATTAAAATTAATGCATAAACTTTAAAAATAAAAATTCATTCTATTCACTCTACCATAAACAGCATTGACAAACAACTTCAAATACAGTGCTGCCAATAAATTATTAAGGTATAAATATTTTGAAGCTTGAGCTATTTGTTTACAATTTTTGCATTTTTTGTATTTATATTTATTTATTTTTATTTTTAATTTAATACCAAATATTTTGAATTGCAAATTAGTTGTAAACATTTAATTGAATGATTAAAATCAAATATTTTAACGATAAAAAAAATTAAATTTTAATTATGTATGTGCTTATTTAAAATAAAAAATACTTTAATTTTGGTTTAATTAAAATAGTTTTTAATATTAAAAAAAAATTAAAGCAGGTTTTTTAAATTGAAAAACAAAACTTAATAATGTGTTTTATAATTGAAAAAAAAAACTTATATTAAACATTTAGAAAAAAATATTAACAACTAATTTGCAATTAAAAACATTGAAGATAAAATTTAAAAAAATATATATAATTAACTAAGTTTTTTTATTATTTTTGCTTCTATGCTAAATGTAAAGAAATTTTAATTTTAATTCATATATTTTTAATTTAAACTCAAACATTTTTAATTACTAATTAGTTGTTCATATATTTTTAAATTATTTAAAGTAAATGTTATACTTCATTTTTTTCAGTTAGTAATATTTATTTAATTAAAATTTTTATATATTTACATTTTATTTTATTTTTCAATCATAAAAAAACTATTTTAATTAATACTTAGAAAATATTCGATTTTTCTTTTTATATTTTAATACATTATATAATTTTTTAATTTTAACTCAAATATTTTTAATTACAAACTAGTTGTTAATAATTTTTTAATTATTTAAAGTAAATACTTCATTTTTTTTCATTTGCAAAAAAAATATTTTATTTAAATCTGTTATTTTAATATTTAATTTTAAATTAATATTTTATTTTAGTTTTTATTTTTTTAAATAGGAAAAATATATATATAAAAATTTTTCAAAATTTTATTCAAAAATACTTTTATAATTTTTTTTATAATTTTATTTGAAATAGTTTTTATAAATATTTATGCATAAGTTTAAAATTTTTTTTATTTAGAAAAGTACAAAAGTAAACGCGCTTTCGCCAACAAACTGTGACGCGCTCAAATTACGCACGTACAGTACATACTAATACACATGCACAACATTTCACACAATTTCGTTTAAGACTTTCAAAGATAGTTATTTAATTAAATCTGCATTAAAATACTTAAGTTGATACATAATATATGTTGTTGCATTGAAGGGTAATGAATTGTCTAATATATTACCGTTATATTTGCCATAAGTTGTTGAGTGTTGCCCATTGTATGCATTTGTAATTTATTAGTTATAATTTGCATTTTTAGTTAAAATATACTTATAAAATACTTTTACTATAAATTTATAACACTGATAATGTCAAATATTTATTTAAGTTATGCTGTAAGTAATTAAACTGTGTAACGCATAATTTTAAGAATTAGTAAACATTTTCCAACCAAACCAAAATACTTTCGTACTGTGCTTATGAATTAAAAAAAATAAATACTTTTCACACTAACAAAATGGATTTCACACTAACGCAGTGCTACTACAATTGAAATATGGCGCAGAAAATATTATGATTTAAGATGTTATTATTATTTTTTTGTATTGATAAAATTTTAAAGAAATTTTGAAATTTGAAAATATTTATGATTTTAAAGATTATTATAATTTTTTGTTATGGCAATTTTTTAAAGAAATTTTGGAATTTTAAAATTTTTTTAATTTTAGATTTTATTATTTTTTTTTTTTTGTAATGGCAAGTTTTCATACAGAAATTACAAAATTTTTTTTTTGTTCGAAAACTTAATTATTGTACACAGTTGTAGCAAAAAATTATGATTTTCTTTAGCACTAAATTGATGCTGGCAAAATATTGATAAAACTGTCATGTATACAGAAATTTCCTCATACCACATAACTATCTAAAATCTAGTTTTTTATTCAACCACATTTTTATTTAAATTATTATTATGAATTCCGAAGTGTGTAAGCGAAATAAAATTTTTATGACGTCAATAAATAAAAAAAACAACCGAGAGAAAAATGAACTAAACATGTAAAAATTAACGGTGGCAAAGTTGTGCGAAATGAAATTAATTATTATAAAATAAATACACTGTAAATTGATGAAATAGACACAAATAAAATAGAATTCCAAATAAAATAAAACCAAATAATTTTCAAATAACTGTTAAACTATAACTTGTAAAGCAGTTGCGAGTAACGGGTTTCTTACATAATAAACAACAACCGTAAAGCGTTGCCAGCGTGTAAGTGTAAAAGTATATTAGTACACACAGTAAGCTCGCATTGCAATAGCATTACATTAAATAGACATGTAATGAGTAGTGAATTTTTTAAACTCAAAAATCCGTATTCAGGTCTATAATTGCATTTAAAAAACAAATATTTATATATATTACAATGATATACTCTAGTTAAAGCATAAAACATATAAAAGTAGTTATGACTATTTAGACTAACAAAGAAGCAAAATAAATACAATTTTTAACAATACACACCGTTTAAAAGTCCCGTTTTCATATAGTTAATGCAAAATTTGTTTTTAACTTTAAGCGCTTAAGTTTTAACGCCAAGTGTATATGTAAATAATTATATATTTTTTAATAATTAATGTATAATAAGCGAATTTGCACACAAATTTGAATAAAAACAACAAACTGATAATAATTTACAGTTATTATTATTTGCTTTGACAGACAAAGCATGTATGTAAAGCTTTTTTGTTCGTTCTACTATGTTTTTATGTTTCATATTTGTTGTGACGAAAAATATTTAAACCAACTGTATAATAAAACACAAATTATAAAAATAAATGGTTGACGACTATATAGAACTGTTTCAAAAATCAAACTAGTTTTAAAAATAACATAACTCACACAGTAAACAATGTACATATGTAAAACGCACAGCAAACCGCAACAAATATGCAAACATTGGTGCATATGTGCCGAAATTGACCCCATTTTCCCTTTAATACAAAAATAATGAAATCGAAAATTTTCAAACTCTCCGCATAACTCACTACTAGCACATAGTTTACCTGACGCTTTCCACTTGTCAACTACAGTTGCAATGCCGTTAGCCTTCAACACTCCCCACACTAAAACACAAACCAAAACATGCTTACCTGTGTATTTGTTTGCAAAAATGTAAAAAAAAACAACTCCAATAAATATATTATGCGTAAGCTTTGCGCACTTTCTCAATTAGCATAGTTATTTCCCTCTCACACTTTTACGCACCCACTGTGTCTAAATGTACGCGCTGTCTGTTAACATACATAAAAAACTAAATTACATGCAGTTGAGAAAATGTCATACGAAAAAAGTCGCGAAAATATAATCAAAGCAAATAAAATGTTGAAAAGTAAAATTGTGGACTTATTAACTTGTAGACTCTGAGCAAATACTTTAAATAGAAAAAAACATTAAACGAAAACAAAATTTAAATATACAAAGTATGTAACATGAAACATATAGCATAAGTAAGCGCAAATTTAGAGCAAACAAATTTTTCGAAATTACCCCAGTAAATTATTGAATTTAAAAAAATTCTCTGCTGTGCAGATGCAAATAAATTAAGTGTAGGACAAAAGCATATTTAGAAACACAAATATACCGCAACAAATGCACACAGGTTTACTAAAAAAAAGAAAAGCCGACAGTAACTTAATCACCACAGCAACAAAAAAACAAATTACAATTTTTAAATAGCATTAGCATATACATTCCAGCAACAAAAGCTTAGAAATTGTTTAAACAAACGAGAAAAATAATAAACCACTAAAAACATATTTTTTCATATTGAATTAGTAATTAGCGCAACAAAAACGACCGCATAAAATTTACTAATTTTTTTCATAAACAACAAACATTGCGCTAACTGCAATTAATTATTTTATTATTATTATTTTATTTATTTTTTTTTTATATAAAATCCAGATTTCCAATTTTCCAGTTGATTTTTGCTCAACTTTACTGAACATGCATAAAAAAGCTAACAAATATGCACATAGACTAGTGAAGTGTTAATCGATAACAATATCGATATTTTTTACTATGCAACCGAGCTGATGCATTCATGCATTGATTCAAATTCGCTCGAACTATTTCAATTATTGCAGAAAAAACTATTGTAGCCATCCATACATAGAACTTGTAGTACTAATGATTTATTTAATGTATAAAACGAAAGCGTTAATAAAATGTATGAGGTACTTGAAGCTGAGCTGTAAATAGGTAAATTAGTGTAGCGTATTAGAAGTGGTTAAAATAGAAATTACAGGAATATGTAAAATCAAAGAAACCAATTAACAACAAACTGGAGTAAATACTATTTTATAGACTAATGTGCTAGTTAAGCGCAGTTTTTTCGTTTTATGTATACATTGTAGTTGTTTGTTTGCTTGTTGAAAACTCGTTCACATCAGCATTTTGCCACGAAGTTTGTAACATAATTTGCGAAGAAATTGTTCAGATTGGACCACTATAGCATATAGCTGCCATACGAATTGTCCGATTAAAATCAAAATAAAGATCTTTGATACTGTGAAGGGTTGTTGTTGTTGTAGCGGCAGAAAACATTCCCGAAGTTTATTACGTGAATTGGTGCCGAGTTAACAGTCCTCAGACGGATAAAAATCCGGATTCGTTGCGGTTACTTAAATCCGACTGTCGTGAGAATAGGTATTATAGCTTTGGTGCAGGCGAAGTAAAAAAAAAAGATCCGGGTTGTTCCGATTACTTAGACCTTCTGGCGTGGGAACAGGTATTATAGCTGCGGTACAGGCAAAGTAAAATTTTCTTCTTGTTTATAGTAAATATGTGCAAACAACATGTTTATGTTCTATTCACACGCCTAATGAGTTTAACAAATAGCAACAACATTCAAGGTTATACTATATTTTCCACCGTAAAAGTAGAAGAATTGCATTTGTTAGAAACCACCTTCAGCATTCCCACAAATGCATAGGCAATGAGCATAAAAGTTTAACTTTTTCCATACAATTGTTTTTATAACGAAGTGCTTGTATAAAATTATAATTATGGGTCATGGCGGCAATTGAAACAAAAACAAAACTTTTTAATAATTAAGGGTTCGCCGTTTTGTGAGTCTGTAATTTGTTAATAAAGTTTCTTTAACAAAAAAAAAACAAAACGACAAAAAGCCAAGCTATATAAATATACACATTAACATACATAAACTTACATGTAGTGGAATTATTATTACATAATATTATATATTATTGCGCGATAATATTATAAATAAATATATCCATATATTACGAGTGTACTAATGAAAAAAGAACTTATTGCATACTCGATAAATAAATTTAAAGCATGCAAAATGCATTAGGCTAGTTATTTAAATGTGTATGTACGTTAACGCATACGACAAACGACAAACACCGTCATTCGTAGTAATAATTATATAGTTATCGATAGTTGTCAACCAACCATTGCAACATTGAAATGAAACCAAAATCAAATAATGTTAAACAAATTGAATTAAATGAAATTACTTTAAGTAGAAACTTGAAATACTTAAATATAAGTGAAAGTACTTTGAAAAACTAAAATAATTAAAAATAATAATTTGATAAACAACAAAAATCAACAGATTGTTTGAGAAATCATTAGGTTCTAAGTTAGCAAACAATTGCAATTCATAGATAACGTAGTAGCAAAATAAGTAAATTATTAAATTTCAAATAAATGATTACAAATTCGTAAAAAGTTAAAACTCAAACCAAAAATATAAATTGTAAACAATTAATGTTGTAATCAAAAAAATAAAACATAAAAATAATAATAACAATAATTAACACCGACAACGTTGAATGCTTCGCAGATTAGTGACGATAGGAGTGTAATAAATGAAAATCAATTAAAAAAATAAATGGACATTTTCCAAAAATACACAAATATGAATATAAAAACAAAACTGCTCATTTCAAGGCAAGGTGAAACAGGTAAAAAATATTTTCTCAATTTGACACAAAAATAAAATATAATAGAAATCTAAAATTTACAGTTTTAAAATTTTTAATACAAAATTTTATAGTTTTTACTTTTTAAATTTTTGTATTATATAATATTTTTTAATTCTTTCATAGCAAAATTTTGAGTACTAGTACATAAAAATTTTAATTAATTTTAACTAATTTTAATTGAAATTTTTTTAAAATAGTTTTAAGTATATTTTTATATTTTTTAACTTTTTTATAGGAAAATGTTTAAATATTATGTACAGAAAAAAACTGTTTAATTTCAAGGCAAGTTTAAACAGGTAAAAAAGTATTTTCTCAATTTGAAACGTTATTTCAGCACAAATACAGCAAAAATCGAGTTTTTCACGTCGATTTATATTTGAACTTAAAGTTGTTGTTGTTGTTGTTGTGACGATTGACCGTATTGGGGGAAAACAATAAATTAACTATCATCGAAGTCATAGCCATTACAGGGCGATAAGACTCCCCTATTTCCGTAGTGGGACCACTCTTCCGATTTTCCACACATCGGGTATGGGAAGGGTGGTCAGAGACAAATTGAGGTCCTTAGTTATTTAACTAATTTAATTTAATTTACTTCCATCAAAAATAGGCGTTTTAACATCAGCAAATAGATTCCGTCTGAGCCGATGGATTTAGATGCCTTAAATTTGTTAATGGCACTCTGTGCCTCCTTGCCAGTGAAAGCAAGTGGTAAGCAGTCCTTTGGCAGTTTGCACAGATGTATGTATGTTTGCACATCTTATCCACCGAAGGGTGCAGTATAAAAAAAAATGTTTATAGTAATCGTTTATTTAAGCATCAATAATTTATTCAAAAAAAAAACATATATTTTAACTTAATATAATAATAAAAATTAAGTGTGCAACATTGGTGCATTAAAGAAAGTTCAGTTAGCATTCATAGCTATAATCTTTGGGTGCTTAACATTGTGTTTTAGAATTAAATAATAAAATGTGCTGTATGGTAGTAAACAATATGGAAAAAAATAACCACATCAACTTAAAACTGATCACTTGCCTAGTTCATAGGCTTCGTGATTTTTGTGAAACACAGATTTCATCAAGTGTTGCCCAATTTCGCGTGTCGATCGTCGCAAGCTGTGACGCAATGTGTGGTTTCGCTCGCCTTCGGTATTCGTTGAAATCACGGCAGTTAGTTTCATTGTGCGTTCGCTGTTATCGATTATGGATGTTTCCGCTTTTGCAGCTGGCGCTGCCTTAGCAGAATTGGAAGGTTTGACGGTTGTTTTGCGTCTTAAACTATTTCGTATCATTTTATATGCGGTGGCATGTTGCTTTACATTTTCACCTATTTCATTGTCCAGCATTTTGTTCTTATCAGTATTATTCTTAAACAAATTATCATGTTTAGTTGGATGCATTAGTTTTCGTAAAGATTTACGTATTAAATTACGTACATTCAGCGATTTCTTATGATCGCTTGAGCCGTTTGAATCGGTGGAGTGCAACGACTCTTTGCTACCAGCGACATGTGTTGTTGCTGCGCGTTGATATGCACGCACAAATGGTGCTGGTGCCTTGAAGTCGATTTCGTCGTCATCCGAGTCAGAGGCATATGCAACATCTTCGACCTTTAATTCCTCGACCAGGCATGTTTCTCTTTCGACTAGTTCATTTTGTAATTTACCAATCAATTCAATATGAGATTCACATTCAATACAATCATGCAAAGTATTCTTTATTTCCACATCTTCTTCATTAAAATAATTTTCTTCATCTTCTTCGGCTATTTCGGCCAATCTTTGATTGAATGTGATTTTTTGTTCGACGTACACATTTAAAGAAAAATCTTCCGTTTTCGATTTCGTACATGGTCCAATTGCCTTGCGCATTTTTGCCTCATTAATACTATTCTCTAGCTCGAGCTGATAGCGATCTAACTCTTTGCCTATATCCATACTACTATCCTCACTTGCGGAATCCAATGAACGTTTTGGCAACAATAAGACGGGAGAAAATACGAGTTTATCTGCCAGCAGCTTGCTAGGAGTTAGCTCTTCTATAGGTATATTAGTGAAATCTATGCGACAACCCACAGTAGGCTTAAAAGGCAAAGATATTTTTAAATCGGTTGAAACTACTTGGCCATCTTTCAAGCCAGTGTTTTCAACGCCCACAGCAGAAGTAGTTGTTTCAACGCTTTGGCAACGTTGGATCTCAAATGGGTTTCTAGTTGCAGTTACATCCTGCGTTCGTAGATTTAAGGCTGCATTTACAAAGCAATTAGGTTGAACAACATTAGTTTGTTTTGTGGGCACATCACGTAAGACCTGAATAATCACAAGATTAAATTGTTATTTTAATATTTCTAAATGAAATGATATAAAAAAGTGTTACTTCGTATGGATTAAATTGTTTTTCAGGCAGCTCTAAGTTCAATGCTGGATTTTCAAAGCATGCTTCTACTATTTCGGATTCTCGTTTTTTCTTCTTGGGTGGTTTGCGTTGAACTTCGTAGGGATTTTGCGAAAGTGCGTCACCATCGATTTTAGTCAAATCTGTCTTTTCAACTGGACGTTTAATTATATCTGAAATTGATTTCACTTCCAAGCAAGTATCTTGCACAACAACATTCGTTATTGGGTTTTGTGTACGCCTGCGTAGCACTACTTTTTTTGGCGTAGATCTGAAAGCCGAATTGGTAAAGCAAGTATTTGTGTCTATAGTAACATCTGCAGTGTGTTCCAAACATTCCTCAGATTTTCGTTTGCGTTTTAGTGTACGAAATACATTTTCATCTCTTTTCTGCACTATGGATTGGGACATTTTGACGAAATTCTTTTATTTTTAATTATATATCAGCATATATAAATAATATTAAACAGTCACATAAAATATTTTGTAGTCGAAGGAAATCAATTACTCCTTTTTACAACGGCCATTTTGAATTTAATTCAGCTGCCGCCATTCATTTTTTCAACCGTACATTCAGTAGTGAATTCTTTTGCGTACTGTCCCTGCTGGAAGAAAATACACCATACTTTGCGAACAGCTGATCTTTGTTGTTTCATCAGGTTTCATAACCTTACCACATTTCAGCTGTGCATTGAATTTTTGTGAGCATTTTTCTGTTTTAAATAAATAATAATGGATGCACAAAAACTTTTACAATACGCTACTTTATTAAAACAAACATTTCGAGCTTATGGCAAACACAATAAGAAATTCTTATATAAAGATGGCAAGAAATACGGCAAAATCATTTACTATCCAATGTAAGTATGCATTCTTCAATATGTGTGCATATGAAATAAGATTTTTGGGTATTTTAATAGGAACCCTGAACAGGAAGACCCACCAATTGAACCCGCAAAACTTTTCCGTGTTCAACGTGTGAAACCCGTTAAGGGTAACCCCTTTTGGGAGAAGCGCATTTTAAAGGATCTTGGGCTTGATGGGAAACAGAGCGATTTCACGGTAGTAAAAAATATACCAGATGTAAATGCTATGTTGTGGAAGATAAAGCATTTGATTAAAGTTACCCCCATCAAATTTCCTTATGGTGAACCAACAGAGAACGATCTTAAACACACCGTTCTCAAGGAAAATGGCGAATGTATTGTCACGAAGGAGATAGGTCCTGTTGTTGAACGTTTAGAAGCAGCTGAGGCATTTGAATCAGACCCCAAACGTTTAGATACAGATTTATTAAAACGTGATGCTCGCATGAAATGGCTGAACCCGTGGTAAATAGAAAATAAAAAAATTAGCATGTTATGCCATTACTTTATTAAAAAATAAATAATTAAATCAAATTTCATTATGATGTTTTTTAATCCAAACTTCTGTAGCTACTTTCTTTTCTATGGTTTTACAACCTGATGTGGAAAAAAGTCCATGTCCGCGATCATACGTAATCACTTCTTTAAGCATATTCCTAAAACGAGAAAAAGTGTTAAATTACATTTGTTTTATTTCTTTATGTTTATATAATCATACTCTATCTCCTGCTTTTGGGGGGTTCGTCCCCATTTAAGAAATTCTGCTGATATGCACTGCTGAACATGATGCTTTTCAAGTGGCAAAAATGGAATGTAATGATCGATTACATGTTGCTCTATTAAACCAGCTTTTTTAAAGCCACCATCTAAGTTGTAAGACGCTTTTTGTAGTATTTGTTCGAATGAACTTAACTTAATATTTTCGCGTAGTTCACCATTCTTTAACATTTTTGCCAATTGATCAGATATTTGTACACCAGCTAAATTTGAAAGAAAAATGAATATAGCTTTAGAGCCATCCAATTTGTTAGGAAGTGAATTATAGTCCACCAAGGATGCCAGCGATTCAAAAACACCGGCAGGCATTTTGTCCACTTCATCAAAAATAAATAATGAACGGGGACAATCTGTAATGCCCATTACCACATCGTTATAAATACGTTCCTGTTTAAAAAAGATTAGTTTGCTGAATTATTGTCAACAATTATCGTTAACTTACATTATAGCTTTTAATATTTTTTTCCACCGAAAACTCTAATCTTCCCATATATTTATGTACAAAACGACTTTTTGATCCCTTCTCATATAAGGCCTCTGCAATCATATCAGCTACAAAATTTTTACCAGTTCCCGGTGTGCCGTGAAAACTCATAACCAATGGTTTTCGTGACGACATTTGAGGATTGAAATGCGCCTCTAACGCTGATATCAATTGCTGCTTAACAATGTGTTGACCATACAATCGCTTACGTATCATCTCTCTGAGTTCTTAAATATCGGAAAAGTTACGCAAATGAATACACGAAATGGATTCATTAACTTACCGTAAATATGCCCCGGTACACTCCGCTCATTGCAACACTCGGTTAATCGGCAATAGGTTTGATCTTTTAAAAACCCAAATCCAGTTAGTGCGCCGAGACCAACACCGGCTCCAATGGTCAAAGATACCGGGTCAACGAAACAGTGAACATCTTTAAAACTTATAGCCAAAACGTATAAATATATAAACAATACTTGTGAAAAATGCATTATCTTTAGTCTATAATAATCTGATTTATAGTGTGAAGTCTTAAAAATATTAATAATTTTTAACTGTATGGTTTTGATGAATATTCGGACTTCAAATGTACACTGGGGATCTTTGTTGGCTAAAAACTAATTCACACACTGTGTCAAAAGCTTACACCACATACACATCGCATAATACAATATTTTGGCGAACACGAATGCCAGATAATATCAGAATCGACGCTAAACTGCTAGAAGCAACTAGATACCGAAATTCGTAGTTGCCAGAATGTGCGAGTAGCGAAATTTTGTTAACAATCTATGGGCTGCCGGACTGTGCAGAAAACACAGTTCTAATTAGCATATTGCCGTGTAACGAATAATTAAACTTTAAACAATAAGTTGGAAAGTAATAAGTGTTATGTTGTTCGAATTAGAAATAAAGATAAGTGTATAGCAATAAATTGTGACCGAACTCAAGAGTGAGTTACAAGGTAGACGATTAATCAAGAAACCCGTACATTCATTGATGACGATGTACGATCAATGATAATATATATAATGCATTTTAATCGAAAACTATAAGTTGCCGGCGGCTATAATTATATATATTCTTTATCTGTAGAATCTCCTCTATCCAACCATACCCCTTTTAACCCTGAAATCGTGGGATGGTATACTAAACCCGACCCGTTAAATTTTTAGCGTGTCGTTTCAACAGAGAATGTAAAATTATTGTTTATTTTATAAGGATATGCATCACTGCTTTCGCCTATTTAAATAATTCACCATCTAAATTTCTTGAAATTACAAATGTCAATCGCTATTCTTGGGAGAATTCGGTTATTTTATATAAATTCAAATCTTTTCAACATATCATTTATCAATAATAAATCGTACGCGCAAATATTTTTTCTTCAGATATCTCGGATGCATAAATCAGCGAGCTGTGGTAAGGTGAAGGTGCAAGCGTATTAACCGCTAATTACAAAACTGAAGAAATTAAACATCACATACGTAGACCGGCGCTCTCTTTCCTCAACGAAAATAGTTTAAATACCCACCACTGAAGAAAATACTGTAAAATATTTCTTTATTTTACGTTTGCTACAAAACACTTGAAATAAATTACATGAAGTACATAATTACATAAAAATAGTAACAAGTTATGCACTTTCAGTTACGGCCTGTGCTAGCATATGTTGCAATTGATCACGAATCAGGCTATGATCAAGACCATGCGTTACTTGTAATATTTTTTGCGCCTCCTTTAAATTGTTTATTGCCGCTGTTAGCTGACTTTTATACAATTGAATTTTTCCAATTTTCAAATGAAGCATACCCAATAGTGGATGCCAATCGCCATAATATTTGCTATGCATATAACAATAGTTATTAAATGGAGAATTATTTTAAATAATGCCACATTCTTCTTACCGAAAGCCTGGCACGAGCTCCATGCCAAACTCTAAAGCTTCTGCCCACTTAGCAACATCAATAGCGGCTTCAAAGGCCGCGTCTAATGTCTTTAAATGCCAAACATTTAGTGGATGCAGAAACCCTTTTTGCTTAGCAAGGCATAATTTGCACACATCCAGATCTGAAAAAATTAACTTTTATATTGTATTTTATGCAACATTCAATAGCCGCTACTCACAGGCAATATCCTTCATATTCTCCAAGTGTGTTTTTGTGATTGTCATTGCTTCGTTGTAGGCATTGCGGTGTTTCGGGCTGACGCCAGCGTCACAGCGCGGGCAATTATTGAGATTTATATCCAAAAGTTCATTACAATTCTTATTGGCGCAAGCGGCTGCAAGCATTTCGTGCGTTTCTTCTGTATTTGTGCATTTTGCACATATACAGAAGAAATAGTAATTTGCTTGCAGTTCAGCCCGCCGTTGTGCCGGCGTGTTCAATAAATCTATATAGCTGATAAAGATCTGCAAGAAGAGTGCGTAAATTGATAATTTAAAAACTAAATTCATTTTGAAAAAGCCGTTCAATTTGTTCAACCTTGGACCAATCCAAACATTCGATATCTTCGATTGCATGTATATGCAGCGTAGTACCTTCAAAGGTGGCAACCGCATTTGGTTTGCAACTATGATCAGTAACTGAGACACCAAGATAAATTGCAGTGGCAATTGAATTCATTTCGGGATCGAGTATGCTGAAGCCATTTGTGATTAACTATAATAAACATATATTAATTAAGCGCTAATTTTTATCATTTTAACCAAGCTGTAAGCGTGCATTTGTGTTCCACAAATATCTTTGGTATTCGTTTCGGCCCCCTAATAAAATGTTTATTAATGAACAAGCATGTAAATTAATTAGCGTCACAGCTGTGTGTTCGACAAATTTTACCGCTACAATTTTTTCTTTTTGTGACTTTTGACGAGTGCATGGCTCCGCATTTTACGAATTCTTGGCCAATTGCCAGCAAAATGAATCTTTGTTGAGGCATTCACTCAATATAGTATAGTAATATATAGTAAATCTATACATATATATATAAATATTTACAAATACGATGAAATGCAACAGTAATGACGTAAAAATAGCAACAACAACAGTTGCTCATAGTAATTATATGAATTATAAAGACAAATCCCTGACGTATTTAAGCGCAATTAACGACAACTATATTTCATTCATACCCTGCCATAGAGACTTGTCAATTCCGTTAGATTTGGCACGATAACACTGTCACCCATCATTTCTTGCAGCACTCCATATAAAGACTCCAAATGCTCTAGACGTCGTTCATCATTCTTAATCTCGGCATAATCTGTATCGTGAGTGAAAAATAATGTATTTATTGGAATATTTTGCATACAACAAAACACTCGAAACATACGGGACATCATATCACGGAAGCGTCGCGAGCAGGTTTCTGTGTAATAACCACGCACTAGATCGCCACCTTTGTCCAATTTTATGATTAGCTTACAAAGCATGCGGGCGGCATCAGGCACATTACGTGGATAAATGCGCTTCAGCAATGGACATTCGATTTTATGCAGCACCCAACTTTGCATTTGGCAGTCACGACTACAGTAATACACATATTGGCAGTTGGCGCATTTCAGCATTTTGCAACTGTAAACAAAATATTTATGAGATCTTGTTACTCTTTCAATTGCACGACATCTCACTTACGATTGCAAGCAGTTGTCGCAACGCTCTTTGCGATATCTGGATTGCAGCACAAATACAAAAGGTTTTTCGGTTAGCAGGCGATCGCCACGTTTAATGGCTTTGCCATTTCTTATATTGGACTTCATACTGCTATTCGCCTGTTTATTGCACCTCCCACTGCATTTAATATCGGAAGTAGCTTTTAAAGCGTTTGACGCCAGTAGCTCTGCGCTGCGGAAAGCCACTAAAAGCTTGTCACACTCTTGCGTGCGTAAAAAAGTTGGCATTGATTTTCACGTTCTTAGCAATCAAGGAGTCTTCGGACGACTGAAGATATATGAGTTATATACAATTTAAATTAACTTAATGATGAGTTATATACAATTTAAATTAACTTAATGATATACCGAATTAGTGTATTTGAGAGTTATAGTTACTCACCTGATATGTCGAGAGACTCGGCTTGCACTACTAAGCACAATTTCAGCACGGTATTATAAAAAAATTATCTTATTTCGAAAGTAAGTAAAAATAAAAAGTTATTAAATTCCACTTAAAATATGTTCTATTTAAAAGCTGTCCGTTTTGTCAATCATTCGTGCACTATCTTTTAGTGGGCACGTCTGCATGGAATCTGCTGACGCATTAGCCTGAGCTATTTTAGAGATGTTTTCCTTCAAAAACAATATTCTAGATCAAAATTCAAAATAAAAACAAATGGAACATATATCTATTTTTAATAACCTTACACCTGATTTACCGGGTCAGGTAAGTAGAGAGGGGAATGTTTTTGTTTATTTACGACAAACACAGGGTGTCCCGTTAAAAAAAAAAATAATAAAAAGGTTGAAATAATTGAAGACATTTGCAATTAACATTCGATTAGTGAAATTAAGTAAAAATACTATAACGAACGGATTAGTAAAAATTCAGATAAGCACTTTTTATTAAACACTAAAAAAAATTACAACTCTTTAACTTGTTTAATATAATGATTGGGGATATTCACATTAATCAATTACGAAAATATTCTTACGTGTGCACTCTGTATTGTGCGAGAACACATCTGTCTTTGTTCTTCATTGGAAGTTATTTGGGTTGAGAAATTACAGGTGCTGATTGTGTGGTGTAATATTGAACGGTATTAAGTTTTCTTGCGTTTATCTTAATTAAAATAATTATATATTTGTATATTGGCAAATTTGTATTTAATTTTCGATTTGTTCCAGTGTATTGTAAAAAGTTGATATCCATAAACACCTAACGAATAATATATTTTTGTCAACATTACTTACTACTTCCCTAGCATATGTAGGGTCAGCATTTTGCGTAAATCAACAGTTTTCTTTAAAGTTTGAGCAGTTCAAGTGTTACAAGTAACGTGTTCAAACATGAGTGATATTCAACAGCCGTCAAGCTCAAGAAAGCATTCTCCCACAAATACAAGCGGCAGTAAACTTGCTACCGATCCGCCTATGCTCAATCTTGAAGAGGCGGAGGAAGATCGCAAGCATATGCAAAAAATTGTAGCGGCCTTGCGTTATTATCAGTAAGTATATATGTATGTACAAATTTTTAGTTCATCTATGCACCTAATAAATCCCTGTGATGATTTGGCTGGGGTTGCGTGCCAATTATGATATGATGTAAATAATTGAATTTTCGAGGTTAAAACCAAGAGTATAAAACGGCTAATGATAATGACAACAATACACATTGGTTCTTTGAAGCATTTCCCTACCATATATACAAAACATAATTGCTACAAAAAAAATATGATGTGTCTGGATTTCATTATATGAGCGTATGTGTCAAGTGATAAGCCTTAGTATGCATATATAGATATATAGTTAGGAGAAACGCCGCTACTACATAAATGCTTACTAATAGTAATGCAAGCAGTCGATAAGCAGGAAGTACAAACAATTATAAGTTCTAGCCCAGCGTATATCAGCAACAGCGATAGAGATAAACTGCTTCTTACTATTCCGTTATTCTAATTGATTAATGCTAGCTCAATATACTAATATTTCACAAAATTTGTTTAACATATGTATTATTTTTGTAGAAAATATTGCTATGCGCGCGTAAACAAGACTGAAAGCTACCTCAATAGTCTTCCCAAACGTCATCAGGATATGTTGGTTAAATATCGCAATCATTTGCGTGTGATAAGAGACTGCATTGATGAAAATCAAAAGGTCATTAAGAAAATGTTGCGTGACAATGTTGGATTTATGGATATGGGTGGATCTGATTATTTGATACAGCAGGACAGTGATGGCCATACTACAAAAATAAGGCATCAAGATATGGAACACGTAAGAAATTATTTATGGAGTTTACATGTGCTGTATATACCTAAGCATTTTTTTTTTTAAATTAAACTAAGTCATTTAAGTTTCGTGTAGTTTAGCGTTTCGAAATGGTCTATAATAGTACCACAGAAAAGCATTTATTGCAATTTGTGAATTGCATCCATAGCAAACTATGTATATATCAAATACTTACTTGCCACAGGCAACAGAGCAAGCTGATGTTGAACCTTTTAAAATTTTAAAGGCCCAATCGACATTAAAATTAATTGCGCGCGATTGGAGTACAGCCTGCGCAGAGGAACGTGAGCAGTCATACAAACCAATCATCGACGCGGTTGAGGAATTCTTCAAGCCTGGCGAATTGTAAATATAACTTAATATAAATGTCAATTATTATCATACTCAACGCTTTTGCCATTTTATTTCACATTTTCAGTGAACTCAACGAGATAAAAATTCTTGTGCCTGGCGCCGGACTTGGCCGTCTAACCTACGAGCTTGCCTGCCGCGGTTATGAATGTGAAGGCAATGAATTTTCATATTTCATGTTAATTGCCTCATATTTTGTCTTAAATCTGTAAGTACAATATTTCAAGCAGAAATTAACTTTTTTGTACTAACTCGTTTGAATTTTTTTTCTAGTTGCACTGAGGAAAATAAATACACACTCTACCCCTGGGTGCATCAATATGTAAATAATTTGCGCATGGCCGACCAGGTGGCGCCTATACGCTTTCCCGATATTTGTCCGGCGAAAAATCCACCGAAGGGCAATATAATGATAGCGGCGGGCGATTTCTTGGAGGTATATTAATCACATGTGATTGAACTGTAAAATTGCTATTTGAAGCTCAGAACTTCAATAATATAGAATAGTGAAATTGAAAAAAAGACACGCTAAATTCAATAATACCATATTTTGTATGCAAATACTTGTATACGTGCGTAATACTCGTGTGAGTAGTTTATAATTAGTTTCACTGAAACGCTTTAGAATTATACATATAATTATATATGTATACATATAATTACAAGTTGTTATGTGCATATGTACGTTGTATATAAATTATTAAAATATTTTTTTTTATAACTTGCAGGTCTACAAAACGCCAAACTGCTATGATTGTGTCGCGACATGCTTCTTTATTGACTGTGGCAATAATATTGTGGACTTTATTGAAGCTATTTTTAGGTAGGAAATTGTTGTCGTCTGAAATTCGCCCTGTTAAGCGGTTTCTTGCATGTTTATGTGTTGTATGTATGCGGTATTTATTTATTTTCAGAATATTAAAACCCGGCGGTATTTGGGTAAATTTGGGTCCACTACTCTACCATTTCAGCGATATACAAGGTGAAAATAGTATTGAACCAACTTTCGAGAACCTGGAGTTAATCATAAAAATGGTTGGTTTTGAATTTCTGCGTTGCCAGACTGGTATGCGCACCAAATATGCACAGAATCCACAGTCTATGCTAAAAAGTGAATACGAAAGTTTGTTTTGGGTTTGTCGAAAACCAGAAAATGCAATCGACAACACCGACGATTTGTCGCAACGCGACGATGATATAGATGAGTCCGGCTGTGGCGGTAATAGCAGTAGCAACACAAATAATCACTATGTAGATATATACAGCAATGGCTATAAAAATGCTTACCAGCATCAATAGCACTGTTAGGTTTTGCAGCTGTTAAGTAGCAGAGACGACAAATTATGCAGGGTACTAGCTTGCCTAATAATTAGTTATTAGTTATTTTGCAATTATAGAATTTCTTTTTAAACAGACTTACAGTTATATACATATAAATCGGAAACATATCTTCCGACAATATAATAGATTTAAACAAAATGTTAGAATGGCTATGAGTTCTTACAACTGCCAATTAGAGGAAATAACTACCAATACTTGTAGGCTCTCTTCTAGGCGGATTGAACAAATAAATTTGATTTCTCGAACATGAAGTTTTTAAGTTCTTTTAAACTGTACACGGTACAAATGCATAGTTATCACACCAACGTAATAAAGTTGTAGTTATTTAAGCAAAGTATTAACAATATGAAGTATATATTTTCGTTTCAATTTTTATTTGGCAGACGGATGCCGAAAAACTAATAATACTAGTTTTGGAAAAATGATAAGATAACATTTTTACTGCGAACTATTGAAAAGGATTTGTAATTTTCTGTTTTTTTTTTTGCTTATGCTATGCATATACCATACATACATATGTATACATATTTGATAAAGTTAAATGGAAAACGTTTTATTTGTAATTAATTTTGCATCCAACAACGGTAGTAATAAATTAGATAAAACGCCTGTATTAAGACAACTTTGTATAAATCAAAAACAAAAAAATACTTATAACGTTAAAAATAAATGGAACAGTTGTTGAAAATATTTCGGCATAGCAAAAAATAAATTGTTTGTTTTATTTGCAAAGTTTGTTTGTCAAACTGGAGACAACTGAGTTAAACATCACCAAAATTATGCATAGCCACGCTGTCAATTACTAAATGTCACTCCGTATACATAAATCAAATTTTCGATTTTCTAATTTGTTTAAATCATACGCTATTCATTACAATTAGAATTGAGGAATTGCACGAACAATTGCGGCACTTTATCTAAAGTGCTTGTGGTGGCATGGTGCAATTTGGTATAGTTAAGAAATTGTCTACGCAAACGATTAAGCTGTATAGCGTTTACACCCGCTGGCACTTCCACTTTTACCAGACTACCTTTGACCGGCACGGGACCTGTATTGCCGATTTTGCGCGCAGCCAACACGTCCGCTATAATTTGTTGCGTTAACTTATCCAGCTCAAAGAGATAATTCGTAGCACTTAGTGGCGGCTAAGAGGTTTTTAAATACCAAATTAAAAATATATATTTTTTTGTTTGCCGAACTTACATTCTGCGTGCTTTGATTCGGCGGTAATGGTTTTGATTCATACAGCGCACCATAGATGGCTTCAAATTCAAGTGTATCGTCTGGGAACACTACAAATAGTGGACTATCCCAACGACAATTGCCGTGTGGCTCTTCGAAGCGCATACAGAGCGCATCGAATATCTCGCGCGTATATGGCACATTAGAGTTATCTGTTGTATTGTTCGACGCACTTGGCACCACATCTTCACCTGTTCGTTGCTGATTGAACTCCCAGGCGCGTGCCTCTTGTATGCCGCAGAAGAGTGTGCATTGCGTACTGCGTGCAGCCTTTGTCGCGCAGAACAACTCGTAGCGATAGCCTACAAACACGCTCAGATATATAAAATATTTGTACAAGATTCATGCTTGTATACCTTTAATGTAATTGCCCGCATCCACAATGACTACGTCGTCTTTATTAAGTAGTCGTAGCGCTTCTGACTTGATATCGCTACGCACTTGTTTCTCCTTTTGTGAATCAGCGAAATAATCATTTTTCGCAAAACCTGCATTAGCTATAGAGATATTCTCCGAGATGAAGTGCACCTTCTTTCCTTTATCAGAAAAGTATTTCTGCAGGTCTTTTGCACGAGTTGTTTTACCACTGGACGGTAAACCGGATATGACTATCATAGGCATAGTTAAGCGTATTTAAATAAATTAACTAACTTTATATTTATGCACTAATAAATAGCAAATTTATTAAAAATAAGAGGAAAACCTGCACCGCGTTTTCCAGTCGTGGTGAGTTCGCAATTGTTTACATGCGTGTGGAAACTGAACAGCTGATAATGAAAGCAAGGGCGTAGTGTCTTAACACTTTTTATAGGCGCCGTATTTATACAAATGTGCAAGATATTACCTATATAAAGTAAATTGTAAATGTAAAGGTAAACGTTTAGTTATTGAGTTGTTTTTTATTGCAAAATAATTTCCTATACGTTGAATATTTGGAATATTGCAATATTTTTTATGTGTTTGAACCTCAGTTAATATTGCCATGCCTACGACACTGCAAATAAATTTGTTTAGTTGACTTCACATCTGAGTTTAGGCTTTTTCGAAGGGATTATAGATATAATAAGCTGCAATAAATAAAGTAACCGGTCATAATGTCGGACGGAAAACGCAGACGCTATCGCAGAGTTAGGGTATGTTCTTTTATAATATTTTGCAAATCATTTTAACTAAATATCACTTTTAATAGCAAACTGAAGATAAACGTCCTATAATATTGGCTAAACGAAATGTGGAAGAAGATTCAATAGCACGTCGAAATGGGGACGCAGAAATGCAACCAAAAATATTACTTAAATCACGCGGGGATGCCAGAGATGATGTAGAGGTGGCAGAGACATCAGCAAATGCAAGTACAGCGCCACTAAAAACAATTATTGTCACACGTAGTGAAGTAGCGCAAAGTCCGGGTTTAAGTGGCGTGAGTCCAGTTACAACTAAAGACCAGCTGCACCAGCAAGTACAACAAACAAATGTGTCTGTAAATGATGTAAATTCAGCAACGAATGTGCAGATAATCGAGCCGCTGCCACAAATGACACGTCCTGCAACTGTCATATCTTCAACTGGTGCAATAAATGCAAGTACGCGCAAATTACTTATGAAAGGAAATACGGACTTTTTAGTAGTTGGCGTGGTAGGTACACAAGGTGTTGGCAAATCAACAATTATGAATCTTTTAGCCAACGATGATATAAACTATGATTACTACACCAAACTGTTTGTGGAAGAGGATAGTTTCTTTCCAACCAAATTAAAGCCGCATAAGTGTTCGGCGCGTTCACGTACCGAATCCACACATATGTTTATCACCGGCGATCGTTTGATATTGCTTGACAGCCCGCCGGTAATGTGCAATTCTTACCGTAAGGACATGACCACCAATGAATTGGATGATCTACGCCAGGTCATAAGTTTTCTTTCAGTATGTCATTTGTTGATTGTGGTGCAAGACGACTACTTTAATATGAATTTTATACGATTACTGCAATTTGCCGAAATTATGAAGCCATCACATGATAATAAACCATTCGTCAGCAATTACTTCCCTAATGTACTATTTGTAAAGAATCGCGCAAAACGACAGGATTTCACAACAAACCAAAAAGAGCGTATGGATCGTATGTTGCGCGCTTTGTTCAGGGATTCACAATTGCGTATATATAAGGGACAAACGGCCGAGCAGCAAAAGCAAAAGAGAACTCGCCCAACGGAAGGAGAGCGGCAAATAAACACATTCTTATTGCCTGAAGTAGACGGTAAAATATATGATATGTACTAATTAATTATTTGATTACCATTTTGCGTGTTTATGTTTAGAAAATCGTAACAACTCAACATTTCACAAACCGCTGCATGAAATCATTGACGATTTTCGTGCACTTGTCTTCATGACCCCACGCAATGATATGTATGCAGGCGCTAGCGAACTAACTGAAGCTATTTGGTTTGAACTGCTCACCAAAGTGACACAGGACACACAACAATTCTTTAATACATATGAGGAAATTCAACGTAAACATTTGGAGATGGGCAATGCTCAGATTGGCAGTCAAAGTAACAATATTAAGGATACGCACGAAAACTGGAGAGAGCAATAAAATATGTATAAATAAATAAATAAATGAATGACTGTTTCCCATGATTAAGACTTTTAAGCATAACGGTAAGATATGACTTGACAGCTTTACTTCACTCATAAACAAACTGTAAATGAAATCCATGATTCAACCATGATTCAATTATTATATATATTATTTTGAATCATGATGAATTCCCAAAATTGAAAAAAGTATATTTTATTATAATTTTATACAATATGTATATTTGAAATTAATATTGGAAATACTCTTTAATTACTGATTACTTGTAAACTGTCTGCAGTAGTGGCCGACGTCGCTGCTCGAGCGGTTTATAAGCATGTTGATATACGCTGGCCAATCGCCAATGCTCTGGGTAGCCGCCTTCCCCAGCACCGCCGCCAAAACAACGAAACGGTGGCACCAAAGTATCAATATCGTAATTCCGTTTTGCGTAAGGATCACGTTGACGCGGCACCACCAGAACACGACTGGCATTATGTGATGCCATACTGCAGCCGCTGTCCGTGCTAATAAAATGACCGGCTGCATTGTATTTGGGCACACCAACGCGAAATGGTATTTTACAGATGGCACGCGGCGGCGCTGCATGGTAACAAAGTGGTGGCTCGGGTGCAACTTTGTGGCATAGTCTTGAACGCGCACGACTAAGAAAGCCCGGTGCTCCCATATTTTGTTTCGAACGTCTACAGCCATGTTCGGGTGCAAGAGCCTCACATGAAGCTGCTACCCTATCGCCGCTGCCGCCAAGATATTTTTGACGCAATGCGCGGTATCCCTCAGCCATGATGTTAGGTGTAGATTGATAATGCTTGCTCAACCGATTTGAAGGCATAGCACAATCACGCGTTACACTATGGGCACGTGGCGGTGCCGCACGCACCATACAATCATCGGTGCTGCAGGGACAGTCCGTGTCGCGTTCAATTATGCGACCGCTAAAATCCGATTTGCGGCGCATTATATCCTTTTCGAAGAAGCCTGTTTCGCCGAGTGTACTGTTGAAGACACCTGCCGAGCGACCTAGATCTGTGGTAGGCTCATCGCGCGGTGTCTTTACATAATTGAACACAGCAGGACCGGCGGTATCGGCAGAACCGTCAATGTGTGGCGGCGGTTGCGGTTCGTCCGCTGGATTTCCGGGTCTATAATCCCAACCGATGGCCAAATCCATTGCTGTCATTGGTTTATCTGGCTGCGTTGAAGAAATCGGTCGCGATAAGTCTCCAGCATAAGCTTTAGGCATCACGCCACAAGTACGTGGTCGAAATACTTTCATTTTCGTACAATGTGTGGGGCCAGCGTTATGCGTTCTTATGCCAACACCCGTAGCAAAGGGCGCAATATCGAGCGCTAAGCCAGGATGTTCACCGGTGATTTGGCGCTTGCGAAACGCCATGTCCACCACACAATCCGGCAGCGGTTGATGGTCCAAATTGTCATGATGCATGCGCTTAGCCAGTTCAAAGTTTGCATAGGGCGGAATGATGGGCGACGGCGAACGCTCGTTGGGTTTCGCTGTAATTGATTTAAGTGGCATTTTTTGCTCAAGATCCTGTACTGCTGGAGAATCGGGATTTTGATAACCGAATTTCTGTTTAAAATATTCCAAACTAGGTCCCACGGAATCCGTCAGAGCAGCGGTTTGTGGCAATAACGAAGTTTCCGTCTGCACTTGTGGCATTGGATCAATTTGCGATTCCGTTGGCGCAGTGAGTTCCAGTAAAGAAGTATGAGCAGCGTTCGCTGTTGGTGAAGATACACGCGTCAACGGTAGTATCAGTGGACGCGTAAGCGTAACGTCCGGCTTATTCGATTGGCAAAGGTGATCGCCAAGGAGGAGCTTATCCAGTGGCAGTTCCGGTTCTATGTTATTGTCGCGTTCGTACTTTTGTTGCAACAGCTGGTCACGTGAGGCGTGTTGGTGTTCGTAGGGTGTAAAATCACCTGGCACGTATTCTAAATCGAAACGCTTGTAAAAAAAAAAGCCAAGTCAAGGACTTTTCTTATTATTTTTCGGTAGATATTATTATTCTTGTGGATGACAAAATAAAATACGCAAAAAAGATATGGGATAGTAACGAATATATTTTAGCATGCTGGTGGTATTTGTATGGGTTCGCAAGGCTCTTCAGGCTTCTTCTCATTACCTTTCTTCTTCTTCTTTGGTTTCTTCGAATCAACCGAAAAAGTATGATAAATAAGATGTGTTAAACAAAAATTTGTATAAAGCATGACAAAATTAAAAAACGAGGAACCTATACTCACTTTTTTATCTTGACCCTTAGCGCACTTTCCAATGCCTTTCTCACCTGGACTGAAAATACGTCTGACGGTTTCGCATTTGTCTTCACATTTCGGTGGCTCATCTTTTTTCCCGCAAACACTCTTTTTGCGTGGAAAATTTCGCCATTTATGCTTTCTGATCAGACATTCGTTGTATTCGTCGGCAAATTTACGAGTTATTTTATGTGGTAGCTCGTAAGTGCTGCGAAAGTAGCCCCAAGGATTCTTATCCGAACTAAAAATAATTTGTAAAAGTTGTTACCAAAAAGTCTTCAAATTAAAGGCTTACAAAGTAGATCCCAAAGGGTTCCTTGCTCATGGGATACAATAAAATGAAAAAAACTTTAAAGAACCCCACGAGACTAGACAAAAGACGGTCTCTATAAAAAATCAGATTAGCAGAAGTTTAAAAGCTAGCGCTACAGCTCCAAAGAACACCGATTAAATCTAGCAAATCTTAGTGGCTTGTGGTCTCACAAATCTCAGCCAACAAGTCGCAACCGAGCCTTAACGCACATAATCTAAGCTCCAATAGGACCGGATAAGTAGCCAGCGCATTATATAGAAAATAGTAATATTATACAGTAAGCTTTCAAAATTTTACAATATGTCGTTCATATACTTTTTTTTAAATAAGCCGAAAACTTGACTCAGCTTATCGATAAGATTTACCTGTATCAAAGCGGAAGTGATGTCATCAAGATCTTTGACTTTGACTCAAATGAATTATTTCTTAAATTTTCAGGAAATCTTAGAGCTCTACTAGAGGGTGAGGGGGAAACATCCCGGCACTTTCTCCTCCACTGTTCTGCTTTTGCTAGGCTGAGACTGAAACATCTTGGTAGTCACACTTTCGGCGGACAGAAGACTCGACCGAAACGGATGTTTACCATCTCAACAAGTTTCTATAGGCACAAGGCGCTTTGTCGATACATAAGGATCCTTTGATTCAACTTATAGGACATATATAATATTTAGCTGTCCAAGTGTGATAATTCTTATGATCGATCTCCTAACCTAACCTAGAGACAATAAGCGGTAATCGAAGCATACCCATAAGGTCAATTTAAACCGGATCAACGTTTAGTTTTAGTCAGATACGTGTAGAAGTGAAGTCCGATGGCTTTAATATACTTTAATTTGACTGTGCTATAATTTTCTTTGACTGTGCTATAATTTTCTTTTTGAAGGTTTCTGAAGTCACATACTCGTACATATGTACATATTTTGAAGAGCCGTAAATGTTGGACTCTCAAATCTCACAACGTCTACAATTGCTGATGACTTGTCTCTGTACACGAAAAATAGTTTTTTAGAGTACAGTCTCTAAAAGCTGAGTTCTAAAATTCCAAAATGGATGAGTTCTTGGTCAGTGCGATAAAGGAGCGGTGTGATAATTATTTATATGCGGATTTCTTTAACAACTTTGCTATGATCTTATAAAAAAATTTACAGGAACACGAACTGCAACAACGACGATAGATCTTTTGTAACTTCTTTACGAGCCAACGGTAAAGGTTTCAAAATATCTGCATAAAGCGAAAAGACGAACAGATTATTTGCTTACAGCAATGATTTCTGACGACACTTTCCCAACCATTTTTGGGTACCGTAGGTATTTCGAATTTTTTCAGTAGAAGCTAATGGTGTAACACGATCTGCGGTGTTGGAGGTATTTACGCAAGTACTTACCGTTCAGCGCTGCACAGCAAATGTCCGTTATTGTCAGTAATTATTATCGTCGGCTGCTTATGGGCGCGCGGTTTTGGTGGATACCACTTCGGTAACTCCCAATTGCATAGACGTTTTGCGCTGTAAGCCTTCTCGAACTGGGAAATAAAGAAAACAACAACAATGAATAAAAAAAAAAACTCGACGGCGCTGGCACAATCACTAGTCATTCATATTTCACGACATATTTCCACAAATCCAACACAACCTGTTCCCGTGCATGACGTACTATATATCATGCTAACTTTGATGCGTTAATTTATATCATTTTAAGCCTTTAAATACCAACGCATACAAGTTATAGATACTCATACATATGTATGTATATAAAAAATGGGCGTTTTGTTGCAGTTGTTCAAACATCCCTGCGCTAAAAAACTGTTTATTAATAAAACTAAAAAAAAAATTCTTCACCCTATACTCCGGTCGCTCTGTGATTGTGTTGTTTGTACCATCCCTCAATCGGCATGAGCTGCAATTACATGGTGTAATTTTTTAAATGACATATGTATGCAGCGATTAAGAAGAGCAGTGCTTCTAATACCTTTATAATCCTTGTTTACTTTTTGAAACCAGCAGCAAAAAAAAAACTGGGCGATTTATTAACATTTGCAACATTTTTTAGCAAGTGGAAGAGCCAACAACTATCGTTAATCGGCTGTGTAATTTATCATAACTAAATCCAAATGGAAAATTTATAACTTTGGCGCATTGAATTCATGAACGTTGTTTGCTGAATTTGTTGCTCGGGGGATCAGCGTAATTTTTTTGTCTTTTATGAAGAAGAAATTATTTAAATTGCACAGATAAAGTGGAAATAGGTACAACCAGAAAGGAAATGTAACAAGAGGTCAACCGTTGCCAATTGAGTTTACAAACACCGGACAAACTGTTTATATGAACATGTGAAACGCTTTACTTTTGGCGCAATTTTGCGCAAAATACCATATGATCAAATTTGACCCGTACTGGTCAAATGCGTAAACCGAATCGATACTTTTCTTCAGATTGTTGCAAGCTTTTTTTA